CGTCGCCTGTCGTCACCGCCGTCGTCCGTCATCGTCCGTCGTCGTCGTCGTCGTCGGCGTGCGTCTCCGTCGTCGTCGCCGTCGTCGTCGCCGTCGTCGTTCGTCGTCGTCGCCGTCTTGTCGTCGACCGTCGTCGTCGTCGTCGTCGTCGTCGTCGCCGTCGTCGTCTTTCTTCGTCGTTGTCGTCGTGCGTCGTCATCGTCGTTGCCGTCGTCCTCCGTCGTCGTCGTTGTTAGCGTTCGTCGTGGCCGTCGTGGTCCTCGTTTGTCGTCGCCGTCGTTGTCGTCGTTGTCGTCGTCGTGGTCGTCTGTCTCGTCGTCATCCGTCGCCGTCGTCCGTCATCGTCGTCGCCGTCGTCGTCCTTCGTCGTCGTCGTCGTCGGGCGCCGTCGTGGGCGTGTTCGCCGTCGCCGTCGTCGCCCGTCGTCGTCTGTCATCGTCGTCGTCGTCGTAGTCGTTGTCGTCGTGGTCGTCGTCGTTCGTCGTCGCTGCCGTCGTCCGTCCTCGTCGTCGTCGCCGTCGTTGTCTCACGTCGTCGACGTCTTCGTCGTCGCCGCCGTCGTCGTCGTCGTCCGTCGGCGTCGTCGTCGCCGTCGTAGTCGTTCACCGGCGTCGTCCGCCGTCGTCGTCGTTGTCGCCGTCGTCGTCCGTCGTCATCGTCGTCGTCGCCGTCGTCGTCGTCGTCGTCCGTCGTCCGTCGTCGTCGTCGTCGTCGTCCGTCGTCGTTGTCGTCCGTCGTCGTCGTCGTGCTTTCGTCGTCCGCCGTCGTCGTCGTAATCGTCGTCATCGTGCGTCGTTGTCGTCTGTCGCCGGCTTCGACTGTCGTCGTCGTCGTCGTCGTCCGTCGTCGTCCGTCGTCGTCTTTCGTGGTCGTCGCCGTCGTCTTCCTCCGTCGTTGCAGTCGTCGTCGCCGCTGTCCGTCATCGTCGTTGCCGTCGTCGTTGTCATCCGTCGTCGTCCGTCGTCGTCGTCGTCGTCTTCGTCTGTAGTCGTCATTCTTGTCCGTCGTCGTCGTCGTCGGTCTTCGTCGTCTTCGTCGTCGTCGGCGTCCTTCGTCGTCGTCGTCGTCGTCCGTCGTCGTCGTCGTCGTTGTTTGTCATGGTTGCCGTCGTCATTCGTCGTCCGCTCTCGCCGTCGCCGTCGCCTTTCGTTGTCATCGTCGTCGTCCGTCGTTCGTCGTCCTCGTCGCTGCCGTCGTCCTTCGTAGTCGTCGTCGTCCGTCGTCGTCGTTCGTGGTCAGTGTCATCCATCGCCGTCGTCGTCGTAGCCGTCGTCGTCTTCGTCGTCGCCGTTGTCTGTCATCAGCATTGTCGTCGGCGACGGTGTCCTCCGTTGTCGTTGTCGGAGTCGTCGTCGACGTCGTCGTCGTCGCCATCGTCGTCTGTCCTCGTCGTCGTCGACGTCTTCCGTCGTCGCCGCCGTCGTCCATTGTCGTCGTCGTCGTCTGTCGTCGTAGTCGGTTTCGTCATCGTCCGTCGTCGTTGTCGTCGTTCGTTGTCGTCCTTCGTCGTCGTCGTCGTCCGTCGCCGTCGTCGTCCGTCGTCGTAGTCGTCGTCGTCGTCGTCGTCGTCGTCGTCGTCGTCGTCGTCGTCCTTCGTCGTCGCCTCCGTCGTCCGTCGTCGTCGTCGTCGTCGTGGTTTGCCGTCGTCGTCGTAGTCGTCCGTTCGCCGCTGTCGTCGTCGTCGCCCGTAGTCGTCGTCGTCGTCCGTCGTTTTCGTCGTCGTCGTCTGTCATCGTCGCCGCCGCCGTCGTCGCTGTTATCCATCGTCCTCGTCGTTGTCGTAGTCGTCGTCGTCGTCGTCGTTGTCCGTCGTCGTCGTAGTCGTCGCCGTTGTCGGTCATTGTCGTTGTCATTATTGTGGTCGTCGTCGTCGTCGGTGTCGTCGTCGTCCGTCGGCGTCGTCGTCGTCGGTCGTCGTCGTCCTTAGTCGTCGTCGTCCGTCGTTCGCGGCCGTCGTTGTCGTAGTTGTCGTTGTCGTCGTCGTCATCTTCCTCATCGTCCGTCATTGTCGTCGTCCGTCGTCGTCGTCGTCGTCCGCCGCCGTCGTCTTTGTCGTTGCCGTCCTTAGTCGTCGTCGTCGTGGTTCGTCGTCGTCGTCCGTTGTCTGTGGTCCGTCGTCGTCGTCGACGTCGTCGTCCGTCGTCGTCGTCGTCAACGTTCTCCGTCGTCGTAGACGTTGTCGTTTGCGACGTGTGTCGTCGTCGTCGTCGACGTCTTGCGTCCTCACCGTCGTCGCCGTCCGTCGTCGTCGTCCGTCGTCAGTTCTCGCTGTCGTCGTCGTCTTCCGTCGTAGTCGTCGTCGGTCGTTCGTCGTCATCGTCGCTGTCATCGTCCTTCGTCGTCCGTCGTCGTTGTCGTCGTGGTCGTCGTCCTTCGTCGTCGTCATTGTTCGTCAGCTTCGTCGTCGTCGTCGTCCGTTGTCGTCGTCGTCGCCCGTCGTCGTGATTCATCGTTGTCGTCGTCGTCGTCGTCGTCGCCGTCCGTCGTCGTCGTTATCGTCCTCGCCGTCGCCCGTGCTCGTCGTTATCGTCCGTAGTCGTAGTCGTCGTCGGCATCGCCGTTGTCGTCGTCGTCGTTGTCTTCGTCGTTATCCGTCGTCGCCGTTGTCCGTCGTCATCCGTGGTCGTCGTCCGTCGTGTGTCGTCGTTGTGGTCGTCCGTCGTCGTCATCGTCGCCGTAAGCGTCGTCGTCGTCCGTCGTCGTCGTTGTCGTCGTCGTCGTCGTCGTCCGTCTTCGTCGTCGTCGTCGTCGTCCGTCGTCGTCGTCGCCGTCTGTCATCATCGCCGTCGTTGTCAGTCGTCGTGTTCGTCGTCCGTCATCTTTCTTCATCGTCGTCGTCCTCCGTCGTCGTCGTAGTCGTCCGTCGTCGTCGTCGTCGGCGTCGTCCGTCGTCCTCGTCGTGGTCGTCGTCGACCGTCGTCGTCGTCGTCGTTGTCATCGTCGTCGTCCGTCGTTGTCGTCGTCGTCGACGTCGTCGTCGTCTGTGGTCGGTCGCCGTCGCTGACGTCGTCATGGTCATGGTCGTCATCCGTCGTCGTCGTCGTCGTGTTCGTCGTCGTGGTCCGGTGTCGTCCGTCATCGTCGTCGTCGTTGTCAGTCTTGTCGTCCGTCGTCGTCGTCGTTGTCAGCCGCCGTCGTCGTCGACCGTCCGCGTCCATTGTCTGCCGTCGTCATCGTCGTTGTCCGTCGTCGTCGTCCGTCGTCGTCACGTTCGTCGTCGCGTCATCGTCGTCGTCCGTGGTCGTCTGTTTCCGTTGTCGTCGTCGTCTTCCGTCGTCGTCATCTCCGTCGTCGGTCGTCGTCGTCGTGCCCGTCGTAGGTCGTCAGTCGTCGTCCGTCGTCGTCGTCGTCGTCGTCCGTCGTCGTCGTCTTCGTTGCGTCGTCGTCGTCGTCCGTCGTCGTCCCGTCGTGCGTCGTCTTTCTCGTCCTTCGTCGTCGTCGTCGACGTCGGCGTCGTCCGTCGTCCGTCGTCCGTCGTCGACGTTCGCTGCCGTCCTCGCCTGACTCGTCCGTCGTCGTCGTCTACGTCCACAGGAATGCTCAGCAGTGAAAACAAGAAGAGTCGTCGTCGTCCTCCGTCGTCGTCGCCGTCGTCGTCCGTCGTCGTCAACGTCGTCCGTCGTCCGTCGTCGTTGTCATCGTCGTCGCCGTCGTCCGTCGTCGCCATCGTCGTTGTCGTCCTCCATCGTCTTCGTTGTCGTCGCCGTCGCCGTCGTCGTCGCCATCGTTGTCCGTCGTTGTCCGTCCGGCGTCGTCTTCGTCGTCGTCTGTCGTTGATGTCGTCGTCCGTCGTCGTCGTTGTCGTCCGTCGTCCTCCGTCGTCGTAGTCGTTGTCGTCTGTCGTCGTCTGTCGTCGTCGCCGTCGTCGCCGTCGTCGTCGTCGTCCGTCGTCTGCCGACGTCTTCGTCGTCGTCGTCATCCGTCGTCGTCTTCGTTGTCGTCATCGTCGTCATCGTCGTCGTCGTCGTCCGTCGCCCGCCGTCGTCGTCGTCGTCGTCGCCGTCCGTCGTCGTCCGTCGTCCGCCGTCGTCGACGTCGTTCTCTTCCGACGTCGTCGCCGTCGTCGTCGTCTTCGTGATCGTCTTCCGTTGGCGTCATCATCATCATCGTCGTCGTCGTCCGTCGCCGTCGTCGTCGTCGTCGTCCGTCGTCCGTCGCCCGTCGCTGTCGTCGCCATAACCGCCGTCGGTGTCCTCATCTTCTGTGGTTGTAGCGTGTCGTGGTCCGTCGTCGTTGTCGTAAGCATCCGTCGTCGTCGTCGTTGTCATCATCATCGTCGGTGTCGGCGTCGGTGTCGTTGGCGTCGTCGTTCTTTCTTACCGTCGTCGTCCGTCGTTGTCGTCGTCTTCGTCGTCCGTTGTCATCCGTCGTCCTCCGTCCTCGTCGTCGTCGTCGTCCTCCGTCGTCGTCGTCCGCGTCGTCGTCGTGGTCGTCGTCGTCGTCCTTCGTCTTCGTCCGTCGTCGTCGTCTTCAATCGTCGTCGTCGTCGTCCGTCGTCGTCGTCGTTGTCTCGTCGTCGTCCGCCGTCGTCGACGTCGTCCTCTTCCGTCGTCGTAGTCATCGTCGTTGTCGTCGTCGTCTTCGTCTGTCGTCGTTATCGTCGGCGTTGGCGTCGTCGTCATCGTCGTCCGCCGTAGTCGTCATCGTCGTCCCTCCTCGTCCTCCCGCTTCGTCGTTGTCGTCCGTCGTCGTCGTGTTCGTCGTCATCGTTGTCCTCGTCATCCGTCGTCGTCGTCATGGTCGGCGTCGTCGTCCGTCGTCGTCCGTCGGTTGTCGTCGTCGTCGTCGACATCGTCGTCGTCGACTTTCGTCGTCCGTCGTCGGGATAGTGATCGTTGTCGGCCTTGTTGCTGTCGTCCGTTGTCGTCCTCGTTGTCGCCGTCGCCGCCGCCGTCCGGCGCCGCCCTCGCCGCCGCCGTCGTCTGTCTTGCGTTGTCCGTCGTGCGTCGTCCGTTGTCGCCGCTGTCGCTGTCGATGCCGCCGCGGGGGCCACCCCCGAGGAGCGCGGCGGCTGGTTGCGGCACGACCGCGGCGGCTGGTCCGTGCGCTTCTTCGGCGGTTTCGAGTGGCTGCAGCCAATCGAGGACGAGGGCGTTTAATCTTGGTTACGTCGCAGTCATTGGAGGACCCTTGAGCGCCCTGGCGCTTTCGCCTCGGCGCCGGCTACACTCTCTTTGAGGGCGAGGCTCACGGACGAGCGTGCCGGAGGTCCGCCAAAATTGGCCCCAAAACAGCAATGCTCCCGCTCGAGACTTCCTGATTCAGGACATGGTGCTCTCGCCGAAAACTGGTCCTCCAACAAAGCCAGCGCTGCCGCTCGATCCTGTCTCGTTTTTTACTCTGGAGTGGCGCTTTCGCATCGGCTCCCCAAACCGCTCCTCTACAATAGCAGCGTTTTCTCCCGAGGCCTCCTTATCTGTTGCCGAGGACTGGTGCTCCTGCTCGTCGCCGGAAACCAGCCCTCCACCAAAACCAGCGCTCTTGCTCAATACATCTCGACCTTCTACTCAGGAGTGGCATTCGTCTCGACGCCGCAAGCAAGCCCCCCTACAAGAACAACGCAACCGCTCGATACGACCCCCCTTGCCGGGGAAAGCGTGCCCGGCCCTCCAACAAAACCGGCGCCCCCGCTCCAGATTAGATTCGTTTTTCAGCCAGGAGTGGCGCTCTCGCCTCGGCGTTGCACACCGCCCCCTTGATGACAACGCACCCGCTCGATACCCCCATTCGTTACCCAGGACTGGCGCCTTTGCCCGCCGCCGAGTATCCGCCCTCCAGCTGATCCAGTTCGGGAGACTCTTCATGGGGGGGGATCCCATGGGGGGATAGGATCCCAGGGGGGGGGGATCCCATAGGATCCCCTGGGGATCCGATGGGGGGGCAGGAGGGGATCCCATGGGGGGGATCCCCTCCTGCCCCCCCATGGGATCCCCCCCCATGGAGAGTCTCCCGACCAGTGGCGCCCTCGGAGCGCCCGGAGTCGCCCGTGGCGTCCTCCGCCCGTTCTCGGCTCCGAGGGGCTCTTCTTCGACCCCGGGGCCGTCACAAAATTGCTCGCGGTGGGGAGCTGGTCGTCGTCATCGCCGTCGGACAGGGTCGGGATCGAGGACGAGTAGGATCAGGAGGGGAAAAAACACACAGGCACAAGCAATCGTCGATTCCCCGGAAAATATCAGAAAATATGGGAAGTGGGGGGGAAGACAGAAACCCCCAAGATGTATAGGAAAATATGGGGAATATGTTTATTTGTGTGTATTTATTCGTGTGTCCTGAGGCCCCTTCATAGGAGGAGGAGGCGGAGGCTCGGGAGAGGGACGGGGAGGGCCGGGGCCCCTCGTCGCCATTTGGCCTCCTCGCCCCTGCGCTCCCCGGCGAAGTCGAGGCCGCGCCCGCGGAGGCTCCTGGGCTGGCGCTCGCCCGCTGGCGCGGCGTGGCCAAGCGCAGTCACGGCGCGGAGGTGAAGACCCCATCTGGGCTCGGGGGGCTGTGGACGACGATCAATGTCAGGAGGGAAGAAAACACACACAGACACAAGGAATCGTCGATCCCCAGGAAAATATGGGGAAATACGGGAAGTGGGGGGGAAGACGAACACCTAGAAAATATGGGAAAAGATGGGGAATCCTTATATTTGTGTGCATTTATGTGTGTGTCTCAGGGCCCCTTCACAATGGAGAGGAAGTATGATGCCCAATAACCTCCAGATGTCTAAAGACGATCAGAACATGGCTGAAGCATGTGTAAAGAACATGTTTCAAACATGTTGAGCACATGTTTCGAACATCTGAAGCACACTTGCCAGCTCAACGATTGGACTGTTAGGTTGTCCATGGTCATGGCATCCACAACGGGAGGGGCTCGAATTTCTGGGCCGCTCCTCAGACCTGCGGTCGGGAACTTTTGATTCGGTTGTCGCTTCACCGGTTCTGGCCCACCACGCCTCGGCGCAACACGCTATCCACTTCGCGCTCCCCCGCCGTCCAAGCCTCCCACCCCACTGGGCGGAGCGGTACGCCAGCCGCTCGCAAGGCATCGCGTGCTGCCAGGGCCGCCGCCGCGACACGCTATGCAGAATTTCCGGGCCGTGGACCTAGGTCGGGGAACTTCTTCATGGCCGAGGCTCGCCGTGGCCAGAAAATCCCCTTGCACTCCTCATTCAGCGCTCCTTCTGGATGGCTGTACTTGTTTGCTCTGCTCAACCCAAGCGGCCCCTCCAGCAGGAAGACGGCACCGCATCGTGAGCTTCAGCGCCGCGGGCGCCGGGTGTTCAAAAAGGCTGGGAGAGAGGGGGGGGTCCAGCAGGCGCGTGAGCGAACGGGCGCGGGATGGGAGCCTCCATGTCCATGGGGGTACGATCGGACCGAGGTATAAGCGGAGGGGCTCTTGTTCTTGAAGGATGTTATCCGTAAGGGTTTCGCCCCCTGTCGCCGGCCCCCCTCTCTTAGAATATGACTTGCCAGAGCTGTGTTGGGATGTCTGGACGCTGACGTGAAGCAATATCGGAACTTCACGCGAGGGCCAATATCTTACTGTACGGCTTGCGCTGCAAGCCTGAACAGCTGCGTTCGAACTCTGACGGTTCGCACTACGAACCTGCTGACAGTCGTGATCGCCAACAATGAGGTTGGATGGGGCGTCCATCGCAGATGCAAACGTAATCTGCGCAGCTTGACGTCTTTCAAGGGGGCCATCGGACCTTGCCTTGTTGTTCGGTCCGTTCACTCGAGGCGCTCTGAGAAATCGGCATCTCGGCGAACGTGGCGTAATTTACAAGGGATCGTGGCCTCGGGGGCGCGAATGTAGCATAATGTATAAAAAAAAGGCTTTATGTCTGCGGGGACGCGAACACTGCGCAATATGCGAGGGCTTATGGCTTCGGGGACTCCAATGTTGGTAATCTACTACGGTTTACGGCTTCGGGGACGCAAGGATTGCGTAATTTATTAGGCTTTGTTGCCTCGGGGACGCAACTATTGCATCAATTCTGAAGGTTTATGGCTTCGGGGACGCGAATACTGCGGACATTGCCAGGGTTTGTTGCCTCGGGGACGCAAGTATAGAGTGAGCTACTAAGCTTGATGGCCGCGGGGACGCGAATATCGAATGATTTGCGGAGGTTTATGTCCTCGGGGACGCGAATATTGTTTAATGTGGGAAGGTTTGTTGCCTCGGGGACGCAGTGATTCCGTAGTGTACAAGGGTTTCTGGCTTCGGGGGCGCAACTATGGCTTACTTTACAAATGTTGATGGCCTCGGGGGCGCGAATATTCAGTAATTTGCTAGGGTTCGTGGCTTCGTGGACGCAAGCATGGTGTAATTTACAAGGGTTTATGGCCGCGGGGACGCGAACAATGTATAATTTACGAGGGTGAATGGCGTCGGGGGTGCGAAAATCGTGAAATTCACGCAGGTTTGCAATTCCGAGGACGCGACAATCATATAAATGTATTATGGTGTATGGCCTCGAGGACGCAGATATTGCATAGTTTACGAGGTTGTATGGCTTCGGGGACGCGAACATTAAGGAATCCACAAGGGCTTATGGCCTCGAAGGCGCGAACATTTCATAATTTACGAGGTTGTGTAGCCTCGGGGACGCGAACATGGTGTAAGTTACAAGGGTTTGTGGCTTCGGACAGGTAGACAGACAGAGCTCGCGTCGAAGCACCTCCGAGGGTGCTGCGGGTGGGCGCCAGGGCGCCAGTATAGGGTGACCGCTCAGAAACTCGAACAAGGCATTGGGAGCCGGGGTCGGGAAATGGCAGCCAGAGTGGGGGAGATTGGAGAGGGTGTCGGAGCCGCAGTCGGAGAATTGGGCACCAGAGCTGGACACGGCCTGCCGCTTGCTGGATGGATTCATTGCTTTTCGTCGCCAGCGCTGGGAAGATCAAGGGAGAACAACGGGCACCACCACAATCGGAGTCGGGGCCGGCGTCGGAGAGATGAGATGGAAGCCGGAATCGGAGCCGGAGTCAGGGACGCAAGCATTTATTATTTTGCACAGCTGTGTTCTAGAGCTCGGACCTCTTTATTTCCGTCGTGGTCCGTGGTTCGTCCCTGGCCCTGGCTCCCGCTCCCTCCCCTCTGTCCCTGGGTCGAGGCCCCAGCATCTCCTTCCCCTTGGCTCGAGCCCTGGGTCGAGACCCCAGCTCCAGAAGCCCGGAGCCCCAGCCCCCCTGGCCCCAGAACCTTTTATTTCCGTCGTGGTTGGTGGTTTGTTCGTGGTTCGTCCCTGGTCCTGGCCCCGCCCAAGCCCCCCCCCTGTGGCCTTGGATCGGACCCCAGCATCCCCCCCCCCCCCTTCCCTTGGCTCGAGCCCAACCCTGGGTCGAGGCCCACGCTCCAGAAGCCTGGAGCCCTACCCCCTCTGGCCCCAGAGTTTTTTTTTTTCGTCGTGGTTCGTTCGTTCGTGGTTCGTCCCTGGCCCTGGCCCCCTTCCCTTCCCCTTGGCTCGAGCCCTGGTCGAGGCCCCAGCCCCCCTGGCCCCGGAGCATCTGCCCTTTGGCCCCGGAGCCTTTTATTTTCGTCGTGGTTCGTTCGCTCGCGGTTCGTCCCTGTCCCTGGCCCCCGCCCCCCCATGGCTCAAGCCCTGGGTCGAGGCCCCAGCTCCCTTGGCCAAGGAGCATCCGCCCCCCTGGCCCTGGAGCCTTTCGAGGCCCCAGCTCCCCTGGCCCCGGAGCATCCGCCCCCCTGGCCCCGGAGCCTTTCATTTTCGTCGTGGTTCGTTCGTTCGTGGTTCGACCCCCATGGCTCAAGCCCTGGGTCGAGGCCCCAGCTCCCTTGGCCAAGGAGCATCCGCCCCCCTGGCCCTGGAGCCTTTCGAGGCCCCAGCTCCCCTGGCCCTGGAGCATCCGCCCCCCTGGCCCCGGAGCCTTTCATTTTCGTCGTGGTTCGTTCGTTCGTGGTTCGTCCCTGGCCCTGGCCCTGGCCCCTGCCCCCTCCCCTGGCTCGACCCCTGGGTCGAGGACCCAGCCCCCATGGCCACGGAGCATCCGCCCTCTGGCCCTGGAGCCTTTTAGGTTTGTCGTGGTTCGTTCGTTCGTGGTTCGTCCCTGGCCCTGGGCCTCGCTACCTCCCCTGGATCGTTTGGATGAGCTCCGGCGTTGCTATCACGTAGCCTTGCCATAACCATATTGTTATTATCTTGCAAGTTATACTAACCTTCTGTCAACATCCAGTAACCCTCCGGCAAGTTTTACTAACTTATTCTAACAGCTGTAGCGCGTTAGCGAGTTAGCCTTCTTTATCTAAGTGATTGCCAACGCGGCCCAATGGTTATATCATAATGCGAAATTTAAAACAGCTTAGCTAAGGGATGCCATGGCGTTCGGTAAAACGTGGATGTTGATTGGCTTCGTGTTAGCAATTTACTTGCACGGGCTTGGTATCAATTTAGCTAACCCGCTGACACATATAGCTAAGCATGTTACCTAAGAGGATTAACCCTTTTAGCTCACCTGCTAAGTGGGCATATAAGGAGGTTTGCTAACCCACCACCCCCTCCTCCCTCTCCTGTTCCTGCTCCTCCTCATCCATAGCAAGGCTAAGTGGTAGCAGTGCTGCCGGTGCTCCTGGAAGGTCCTGGGTCCTCGTCGCCACGGAGTCGTTCGCGAATCGTCGTCGTCGCGCGGAGAAAAAACGTGCAATAGTATTTCGGTGGGGCATTTCTGGGCGAATTGATCCGAGATGCATGTTTCTCTTGCGACGGCGGTTGTGCATTTGCACAGGCGTTTGCAGGGTTTGACGTGTCGCACCGGAACCTACTCGGTTGCCTTTTGTGATTGTGCGGTTTTCTCTCTCTCTCTCTTTATCGGAGGTGAGGGGGTGAGATCGAAGTGGAACGGAGAGCTCCCCTACCGGGAATTCGTTTTCCGCTTCGTGTTCGTGCGTGCAGTGCGTGCGGGCGAGGCGAAGCTGCGTGGGCGGGCGAGAAGAAAGTCTCCCCTTGTCAATTAGCGCTGCCCCCTCAAGCATCGACGCCTGCGCTGACTCCAGTACCGAGACCAGCATCGATTCCAGCATTGATTCCAGCATCGACGCTTGCGCCGACACCAGACCGAGACCTGCTTCATCGACGATATCGTCGATTCCAGCATCGACGCCTACGGTGACACCAACACCGAGACCAGTATCGACTCCAGCATCCACTCCAGCATCGACGCCTGCGCTGACAGCAGCACCGAGACCAGCAGCGATGACAACATCAACTCCAGCATCAACGCCAGCGTTGACACCAACACTGAGACCAGCATCGACGATAACGTCGAATCCAGCATCGACGCCGGCGGCGACACCAGCATCGGGACCGGCATCGACTTCAGTATCGACGCCTGCGTTGGCACCAGCACTGAGGCCAACATCGACGACAACGCTGCGCTGACACCAGCACCGCGCTCAACAAGCATTGACTCCAACATCGACGCCTGCACCGACACCAGCACCGAGACCTGCGTCATCGACGACAGCGTCGATTCCAGCATCGACGCTTGCTGTGACACCAACACCGGGACCAGTATCGACTCCAGCATCCACTCCAGCATCGACGTCTGCGCTGACATTAGCACCGAGACCAGCATCGATGACAGCGTCGATTCCAGCATCGACGTTTGCGTTGACACCAACATTGAGACCAGCATCGACTCCAGCTTCGACGCTTGCGTTGACACCAGCATCGACGACAGCAACGAGTCCAACATCGACGCTAACGTTGACATCAGCACCGAGACCATTACCGCTTCCAGCATCGACGCTTGCGTTGACAGCAGCACCAAGATCGGCATCGACGACAACGCCGATTTTGGTATCCACGCCTGCGCTGACACCAGCACTGAAACCGACGACATCCGTGACTTCAATATCGATGCCTTTGCTGACACCTTTGAGACTAGCATCGACATTAAGTCCAATGACGCCGTCATCAATACTAAAGAGTGCAAGGGCAGCGTAAAGTATGCGTATGGGTTTGGTGCGGTCGTAATATTTACGCAACTGTTATAGTGGCAACAACAATCAATATGACGTACAATTTCGATTCAACGAAGAACGGGTGACGTATTGCAAATACGCATGTTGGTTTGTGACGTATACGTGCATGGTTGCCGTGAATACTAGCGGCATGTTTTACCGATTATCTCTGCAGGGTCCGCAGGGGAAGCCATCAATTCAAGACCATTTCCGGTTCCGGAACTTGTTCGACAAGCTACAATTACAAGACCGACACCACTTTCATCAAGTATGGCACCAGGTTTGCGACGATTCCGACCCCAGCTCCACCAACGGTACGGCTTCCCGCGGTATTGTTGTGGTATTCTTATATTCTACCGTGGCCCGCTGCTGCGTTCCATCCATAGTTTCACGCCCCTCCATATCACCCGAGCTCGCATGCTTTTGCAGGCGATTTCCCAATGAGGTGGTATCAATGCTCCCCCTGCTCGGATTAATAAGCAATGGTGTCGATGCTCCCCGTTCACCTTTTGAAAACTCGACGAAAAGAGACGAACCACCGACGGTTCGAGCTGAGAGAGACCCCAAAATTCCAAGGAAATCCCGAATCGAAAGGGCCTCGACGTTCATTAAGAAACGATTGTGTGGGCATGTTGGCTGGCGACAATAGCAGCGACGATATTATCATAGCCCAGGCCCTCCCGATGACAATATCCCGAACGACACCCAAATCCATCAAACGAGGGCATAACGACTCGAATTTCCGAAGCAATTTATCCCTCTTCGGGAATTCGGATGTGGATTTTCCGTATTATATTTTTGTGGAGCAACCGTAGCAAAATTTTGTTATGTTCGTCGTGATGGATTGCCTCGAATTTCTTTTCAGATAATTCGATACGGCATGCGGCAATATGAGATCATGAATCAACAATTCTTGGTTCAATAGTTGATCCAAGCAAATTGGTTCAAGAAGCAAGTTGTTCCAAGCAAATAAAATTTTAAAAGAAATTCTTATTTACATTTTTGTGATGTCTGGTATGTGCACGGCTCCCGCCCTTCAAAATCTTACTTGCAGCAAACGTAAACCTCAAGGAAGCAATCTTGAATCACCACGACGAGAAAAATACCCGGGTGAAAAAAACACAATATCGACGAATTTTAACATCATGGTAATACACGCCGGCATGCATCGACAAATGCAGGGAAGAAATCCGGAAACAAATGGAAATACTCCGCATTATTTTTTCAATTCCATTCTGACGGAAACGGGCAAAATAATTATTCAATTTAAATTTTTGGTGGATCATCACATGCCTCAATAATCGACGCAGAACGTTAGGTAATTGCCACACTAAAAAATTGCCAATGTGATGAAGAGGTACAAGAAAGGCGCGTCCGACGGAAATTTCAAAAAGCATTTGCTTTAAAACACATTTGCGAAAAAAACTTTGCCGATTCTGCAAACCGCATGTGCCGAACACCTGCCGAAAATTGGTTATTCGGTTTTCGGTACCTTCTTACAAAATGGAGCTTCGAGAAGAAATATCTCAAAGTCCACGGAAACACCGGCCCATCGAAGGCCGGAAAAAAAGTGGTTCTCAAATTATTCGTTGTTGATTATCCTCAAGTTGGAATGGCCGTGGAAGACTTGGGAAAATCTCCAAACAGCTCGCGAGAACAAATCATGGCCAAATTGGAGTGACTGCAGCATTTGCTTCAAAGGAAACCAACAGCTTGAAGGAGCCAACGGTGCAAAGGCATAATTTCACCTTCCAAGAGATTCCCGGATATTACAACTCAATCGATTTAATATTGGAACAAACGATTTTGGCAAATTTATCATCTGTTTTTGTTCCGTCTCCACGTGCGAATCCGGATTCAAAAATTCATGCAATACCAACAATAAAATGTGGAAGTTGGAATCTTTATGGACTAACAAAAGTAAAACAAAAAAAAATCTTCACGCACATGAAACACTGCAATATCGACATATTGTGCTTCCAAGAAGCTCGGAAAACAAAGGCAAATGTGTACGTGCAAAATGGGTATGAATTCGTATTCTCAAGGTCAAACGATGACTTAATATCTTGGGCCGGAATTGGTTTTGTACTGGCACCTCGTCTTTGCCGTCACATGCAAATTTTCAAATAAATGTTTGAAAATATCCGTATTCAAATTACGCATCCAAAACGCAACATTTGCAATCTTCAATATATATATGCTTCGCGCAGCATGAGACCGCTCCCGGAATGTATTGTTTTTTACGAAACGTTGGATAAAATACACAGGACGTGCAACGCAAATTTCCCCAAATTCTTCATGGGAGATGCCAACGCAAGAATCGGACGAAAACACCGTGGAAAAGAGGACGTCGTTGGAGAATTTAGTTGGGGTCGCAAAGCCATCCACGAAATTGACACACAAAGTAGAGTTTTGTTATTGGAATTCTGCATGGACGCAGACATGCTTGTCACAAAAACTTTCCTTTATTAATGTTTGGAAAAAAGGTAACTTTCCGACAACTAAGAAAAACTACCACTTTCGCCAATTAATATTGCAACCCGTAATATTGTGTTATGCAGACCTTGCATGCTGGATGTAATCGAAAATGTATGGAGTCATTGCGAAGCTGCTCTAGCCACTGATCATTTTCTTGTTAATTCCGAACACAACCCAGAAAACAAACACAATGCCGAAAAACACGATTTAACAGCCCTGGACGACGGCACCATTCGCATTCAATTTGTAGAATCATTCATGGCGCACACGGTGGAAACGCATAATGTGGAGGATCTTCGGGCCAATGCTAAATATACGGCGGCCATTGCGAAAGCAAAGCTATTTTTTCGGGAACGTGCGACACAACAACTATGGGTTACGCAACATATTTTGGATTTGATTGCGGATACAGCACGATTATCAAACAACAAAGCTTCGGAGAAAGAATTATTGAAAGAAAAGCGACGCACAACGGCGGAATATTTGGAAAATGCGCAATGGAAAATGCGCCCGGCGAGAATTGTGGATACGGGATCCTTGAGACCCCTCTGAACATCCCAGATGATGATTTCACAAATAAAGAAATTTGAGCCGCCATCTCCCAAATCAAATGTGGAAAATCCAGCGGACCTGACGACATACCGGCTGAGTATTGGAAAGCATTGGCATCAGATTTTCAAGGCCTGCGATGGATTACACCTATGGTGAACACATATTGGAGGAACAAACAAGTTCCGGCATAATGGCATCATGCACATGTGTCTACAATATATTAAAAACCCAGTTGATCAATGCGACAATTACCGCCCGATCAGTCTGCCATGCGTAATGTACAAATTCTTGCAACTCTCTTACTTAGGAAACTCCAGCGAACAGGGGCAAAATATCGACTCACCGCAACACAATTCAGTTTCAGAAGGCAATGGGGGACGACGGGTGCTAGTCACGCAATGCGCAGGCATATTGAAGCATCCCCTGCGAGACGGGATGGCAAACTCGCCCAACCAGCGTTGGTCTGGGAAAAAACACTCGATTCAATTAATGTTTTAGCCCTCTTGGACGCTTTGGGAAAATTTGGCGCGCGCGCTCACATGCTTCGCATTATTGGCAACATATATGAAAACAAGAAATTTTGCGTGGCAGAAGGCTCGAAGCGGTCCAGCGAACGGAACCAATTGTCTGGGATGGCACAAAGGTGCCCGCTTTCACCTTTTCTGTTTGTGATGGCGATGAGCGCAGTAGTCAAACGCGCAGAAAACAAATTCGACGAAGAGACGCGAAGGTCTTTGATTCAAGGGATCGATTCTTCTATATGCCGATGATACTCTATTGGTGGGCCAAAACGAATACCATTTGCAAGGCGTTTTGGACGCGATCGCGGAGGCAGGGGAAGCGATCGGCATGGAATTACATTGGAACAAATTCCAATCATTTCAAAAAGGTTGCGACTTTCGCTTGCGAGATCCACGTGGGAACATCATCAAATCAAGTGAGCATCTTCTATATTTGGGGGCAACTATATATAACGATGGGAGGCTCCACCACGAACTCAACAGACAACTCGGGGCCGCATGGGGCGAATTCCAAAGATACGCGAGAGCATGGAAACATGCGTCAATACCTATACAAAGAAAGCTTGAAATGTTTGGGGTGCTGATTACCAGCAAAGTTATGTATTCTTTGAACTCAGCCTGGCTGAACAAACGAGAAAGAAAGAGATTGGATATATTCCAAGCGCGCTGCCTTCGCCAAATCATGAAAAATCCTAATTCGTACGTGTCTAGAATATAAACTAAAACAATTTTGCTCAGAGCCGGGACATCAAAGTGTAGTTCGAAATTGTTGAAGCATCAATTAGTATGGTTTGGGAAGATAAGAATATCAAGCGCTGACGACTTGTTGAGACAATTGACTTTCCAACCAGACAGCATACGACCTGCCGCCGACTCGTGCGTTCGGGCCCCCGGACGTCCAAGGCACGAGTGGGCAAAAAGTTTATACAATCGAATCCGATATTGTTTCCATTCTGAGTCAGAGTCATTGGATTGCCTCACAAACGAATCTGTTTGAATCGCATTTATTACGAAGTTTGCTCTTGGCCGCCACTCTCACGACAGCGATGAAGAATGGCTGTAATAACTATTGATTGCCTCTGTACCCCGGCAGGCTGCAAGACAATGGCTTCATGCTCATCTTCCTCCTCCTCTCCTCCGTCCTCCCGGCGCGCATTTGGCGCGTCCTGGCCGCCTTGTGCACGCATTTCGTGTGCAACTGTCACAGCTGGCGCGCATTTGGCGTGTCGTTGCTCCCGCCCCCTTTTCCTGCCCACGCGCATTCTGCGATCGCCTGCTTCGATTCGAATCAACAATTTTCACTGTGCACGATTCAGCAGGACAAGAACACAGCATTATGTATGGGCTTCAGGAAGTAGCATTCCAAGAGTAATTGATGAATTGGTATCCCAGATTGACGCTACGGCCCGATCCATCGATCCCGAACTACGCTTTCAAGCTACATCAAGAAGAATATATCTGCAAATACGTTTTGCAGTCGCACGTCGCTCTGCCAGATGGTTGGCGGTACGTCGATGCAATGGATATCCGAAGTGTAATCGAAAACCGCATACAAACGCTAATCCATACGGGCTGCGTTCCTACGTGTTCTGACACAATGCCTGATAGAAATGGAATGACTGCCCACGGGCATATTTATTATTTGTGTTGCTCTCCAATAGGTTACTAACCCGACAACCCATGGAAGGAAGCCTGGTAAACGCGACTTGCACCGTTAAGTTGCTTCTTTTGACAGCGGACATTCGGACCAACTCTTTCACCGACCTCGGAACAACGCGGCCAGACTTCTCAAAGGAGCCTTCACCACCTAATCTCGAGGATTTTGCGCCAATGCAGAATATGGAATTGGAGAGAAATGTATTTGCGACGAAGCTGCGACAAACAAAACATGGACTAAACGGAAGGATGTAGAGGAACCAATATGAATATTTCAAGGACGTCGATTTCGACGCCATCTGCAC